GTTTATAATTCTCTTGCATTGAATGTTGATTATTGTCGAAGAGTGACACTCTGATTTGTAATTAATTTCCAATTGAATATGATTCGTTCTTGTGTGATGTGTTTAAATCCAACGAACTAGTAGATTAACAATCGTCTAGATAATTTAATCAACTCTTAGAACCAAAAAGGGAGGAGTTGATCGATCTACGCTCGCATGAAATAGACTTGTTCGGAAACGTATTGTCTATGTGTTGTGTGATTTGTTTGATTTACCGTCTATGTTATCCTCTTGTTGCGAAGAGTTATTTGAGGACTATCTTTAGACGTTAGGTTGCTCGAATCATTTAACCGAATAATCTTAGCTTGATATTTGCATTGGTTATAAAATCATCATCCTCGACTTCTTAGCTTCTTATCCTTTGATCTTCATCTTTGCTTTTAAGTTCGATTTTGCATTGTTTGAATTCTCTTTCGTAGTTGATAATTAAAAACCACTATCTTGATTAGAGTGTTTAGGATTTATTTTTCTATTATGTGTTATCAACACCATCCCTAGATTCCGAACCGCCTTCCTCGAGAGATCGACCCGGGGAACGAATCTTTCGATTCGGTACTCGGTAAAAATATATTTTGCTACAACACCGGGTGCGGCCCTGAGTGTGGCTAGGCGCGGCTGGCACGACCCTGGCGCTGGTCGTGCCTCTCGGGTGCTGCAGGGCACAGCCGAGGCTTGCTGGGCGCGCTGGGGTGCACTGGGCACAGCCCTGGCATGGCTGGACTCGGGACTGAGGCTACCAGGGCGCTGCCGTGCGTCCCTGCGCGGCTGCGGCCCCGGTCGGCTCCTTGACGGTCGTCCGGCTACTTTTCTGGCCCTTTTGCAACTTTACTAGTGCCATGCAACATATAATAACTTAACATGATGACATAGGCATAAAAATGCCAAGAAACACTAGGAGACCTCGGTTCAACGTGCACGTAGTTCGATAAGGCCGATAAGGCACGTACGAACACTAACTCACCGAACCAACTACTCATACTTGATCATGTGATACATGCCGAACACTTAACAACCTAAAACATGATATATAAGGCTCAAATAACACATAAAACCCTAAGGGACCTCAGGTAAAAAATGCATAGGGCTCGGTTGGGCCGATAAGGCACATACGAGCATGGGTCAGCGAACCCACTTCTCAAACTTGCATAAATGACTATGGCCGTGTATTATACATCAAAAATCAAGGTTAAGGAGGCTAGCATGATGGCTTATACTTGCATGTATGGTGATATGGCTCGGGGTGCAAAAATGGCATATTTTCACAAACTAGTTGACCGAACAAATGAACTCCAAATAGGCTCAAACTTATACACCATCTTTCTTATAATTTATAAGGAGGATTAAGCTAACAATTTCTACTTAAACATGCATGGAGCTAAAAATCCGAATTTAAGACATTTAATTCTTAAAAATCGAAACTCATGGATAAAGGCATGTATGGCTTCATTTCTCTTCATGATAAATTTTAATCTATCATAAAATAGCTGAGAAAAAAGGATTTCTTAGGTTTACCTTCACCGAAGATGGAAAATGGTTGCTAGGGTGATAGGGCTTGTTTTGGGTCTTGAGAGGCTATGGCTCGACTTGGTGGAATTTGGTCGAGGTCAAGGGGTGTTGGAGGCTTAGAATAAACCCAAGACCACAATGGACTTGCTTGACCTCGGTGAAATTTGGCTAGAACACGAAAAAGCTCGGTGCTCGCTCTCCTCAGGTCCTTTCCACGCGTGTGAGTGGTGTGGTAAGTGTTCTTGACCTTTCTCTTCTTTCCTCTCTATTTTGCTCGACTAATTTTATAGTTTGAAATTTATTTTGGAAAACGTAATATCGAAAAGTGTTGTCTTCCGTTTTTAAACAGATTTTTTAATACATCATTGTTTTCAAATAATGTGACACATAAATTGTTCAAAAAAAAGTTGACAGTATTTTGACCTATATTTTTTAAAATTAAAGAGTACTATAAGAAGCCAAAGGAAATAGAACAATATTTAAGCACACAAATTTGATAACTAAATTTCATGCAGAAGGATAAAAGTTAAGTTTAAATTTTATTATACGATCCCCTTTCGTCTCCCTAACCCTAGCCGATCGACATCCACAAATTGCGGCGGTAGAAATCTCCCTTGCCGGACGTCTGGGTCCATCGGTGGACGGCCTTCGGTCACTCGTCCATGGCGGGGCATCTCTCTCCTCTATTGTTGATCCTCTCCGTGCTTCGAATTTGGGCCAATGGTGAAGGTTCTCCTTCCTTGTTGGTTGCCGGAGTACAGGTTCGGTCGGCAATGGTTGGGGTGTGGTGCTGGTTCATGGACGAGGTAGGGATAGCTGCAATCGGATTTGGCCGGGCCGCTGGGTCGCTGATTCTCCTCTGTTCGCCTTCTCGTTGCCGGTCTGGACTGCGCCTTTTCGCCGGCGAAGCGGCGATTGGCTGTGGCCGCCCTTTGTTTCGACAGTCGTATGTCAATTGGAGGTACGCCCACGATTTTGCTGCTTTTGTCTCGGTATTCTATTGTGTCTGTGATTGGCGGGACCTCTTGGTTCCTTCTCTGCGAGTGGCATACGGGAGTTCTCGGTTGGTGGTCGTAGTTCTGCTGGGATTGCTTTTTTCAGTTAGAGCTAGGCTACTTGGTTGGGTTTCAGTTGCTTCGGGCTGGGCTGAGTCGTGTTTGCCTCTTCTCGTGATTGAAGTGCGGGACTGCTCTTCAGTTGGTCCTGGAGTGCGGGTTGCCGTCTTGCTAGGCCTTCTGCAGTGGTGGACGGTTATTTCCGTGCTTTAGAGCTATCAGTGGAGTTGGTTTGTCTGCCGTATACTTAGTCGTATCTGGTGGGGGAGGATGTGTCCTCTTTCTTGTTTTTGTTTCTAGTCTTAGTGGGTCTGTGTCTTTGCTATTGTTATTGTTCTATTTGTGTGTTTTGGTTTGGGCAATTGGCCCCTGTATTGTTGTATTGTGTTTTTGGTTTGGGCCGTTGGCCCCTGTATTGTGTGTGCCCGACCGTGTTCGGGTCTTCTCCTTTGGGGAGCGTTCCATATTCTCCCGTGGGGAGCGTACCATATTCTCCCGTGGGGAGCTTAGTGTTTCTTTGTTTGTGTTGTAGTGTCGGTCGTTTTTGAGTCTTGTTTTTAGTTTCTAGCTTGGCTAGCTGCGGTTCTAGGCGGTCTTTAACCTGTCCTCCCACTTTTTCAGCCATTGGCTGTATTATTCAGCCTTGGGTTGTACTTTGCACATTTGTGCGTTTTGAATTATAATATTTCTATCGTTTCGTAAAAAAAAAAAAAAAAAGTTTAAATTTTATTCAAAAAATTTCCTTAATAAGCAAGTTAAATTATTTAAACAAAAAGTCAACTTTGCACTTTTGAATTATCCATCAACCTCTTTCAATATATATATAGATAGATTATATTATATGAGAACACAACAGTTACATTTATTTTTACCCTATTCAATATTTAAAAACTTCAATAATGTTACATAAAAACTTCAATAACGCTGGATACACTGCAAGTGGAAGGGAGATATTAAAATGGTACATATAAGGCCTCACATTGATTAGGATACAAAATAAGAAAAGTAGTAGAGTATCTAGTGATGACAAAAAGTCACCTTATTCCATCTACCAGTTTTAATATGATAGAAATTCAATTCCAGGTAACTCTAACTCTTGCAACGTATCCAAAGCAGATTATTCTTCCAATGGGGAGCTTTCTTCTCTCAACGGAGAGCCGTAATTCCTTCATCGGAAGGCCAATAAGGAACTGCCATTTACGCCATATCAAGATTTAGATTAAGGTCATCGCTCTCTCTCTCTCTCTTTCCTTCAGTTTTTTTCTTCCTTCTATTTTCTCCTCCCCGTTATTTTCCCAATTTACATTTCTAGGGTTTGCCTTGGAAGCCCTATTTTGTTCTGGTTCCCTTTTTCTCCTCCATCGGGTCAATTGGGTAGCTCAATCATGACTCTCAATCTCATTTTCTCCGTCTTGGCCCCATGGATATTCTCGAGAATAAACTCAAAGAGTGCAACCTCAGTCAAAAAGAAGAAAACATTAATCCCCTTCAGGAAGGAGATGTCACAACGAGTGCAGAAGAGTGTGAGCGCAGTCTCTTTGGCAAAATCATCGGAGATAGAAAAGCTCATCTCTACGGGCTACAGAAAACTATGACACAAATATGGCAGATCCGAAACCAAATGGAGGTGCGTGAGCTCAAACATAATTTCTTCCAATTCATCTTTGAAAATCTTGAAGACAAAAAGAAAGTGGCTAGAGGAAAGAATTGGTCCTACGAAAATCAATATCTCCTCCTCAAAGATTGGCAGGAAGACATACACGCTGATCATGATTGCTTTGCTGAAATGGATATGTGGATCCAAGCGGATGGTATTCCTCTTAACTGGCTGAGTATAGAAGTTGGCATCAAAATTGGCAAAGCCTTCAAGAATGCGAAGGACGTGATAATCTGTAACTCTTCCACGGGAAATGGCAGGTATATTAAATTCCTGGCCACTATAAATCTTAAAGAGCCTCTACTCAGATGTGCTAATGTCCGTCCAACTAGGTGACAAAATTCAGAGGATTATGTTCAAATATGAGAAGCTCCTAAATTTCTGCTATTACTGCGGCTTAATTGGGCACTTAGAAAGATCATGTTTGAAAAGGACTGCAGATATTGAAGCTGGAAATCCCCAGAAATGCCAATTTGGAGAGTGGATCAAAGTTCCAGAATCTCAATCAGTTTTCAAAGCTAGAAATCACAGCAATCAGTCAGGTACTTCTACCCATTCCCCCTCCCCCTCTCCTGACATAAACTCCAATCCTAACATACATAACAACAGCAACCCCTCTCCCTCTGCTCATCTAGACCCCTCCAATCATTCCACCCCAGATACTAATCTATCTCTCATTAACCCAATCAACCCAACTCCTATAAATACCTCCAATGCCAACAGTGAGTCATCCCCACATCCTATTAATAGTGAACCTCTTGCCCTATCTCCATCACATATAATGCTAATTCAAAGTCCAGATCAACCATCTGCACCTGATAACTTAACCATGTTGATAGATTCCCCAGCCACTGTCAAGAATGCCATCCAAAAACAAGCCCACTCAAAAAAATGGACCAGGAAACCCAAAATTTCAACATCTCTCACCTCCTCTAAACCAAATGCCTCAGTCCTCAAAGGCAGCCATACTAATAAAAGGGGCAGACTGCAATCTGATGAAGCCACTCCCTCTACTCATATCTCTCAGTTCCAGGGAAACCCTGCACCAGTTACCAAAAAACAAAAGCAATCCATTGCTAAGGTGGAGGCAGCCAGCCTGAATTGGCTCCCAAGTGATAAATGAGAGCTATGGTATAGAACTGTAGAGGTCTGGGAGGACCCTCTACAGTTCCCCAGCTGAAGGAGTCCATTAAACTCCACCTCCCATGGTTTACTTTCCTTTCTGAAACAAGGAAATCTTCTGCTTTTGTTAATACTGTTAGTAAGAAGCTTGGTTTTGCTGATCACTTCTTAGCCATTGACCCCACTGGTCAAAGTGGTGGCCTCCTTTTGTTATGGAATAGAGACATTGTTATCACCAACATAATATCCCACTACTTTTGTATAGAAGTTGAGTACCAGCATCCCTCATTACCTTCTACTCAATGGGCAATTTTTGTCTACATCAGTCCTGTTGCCAGTGAAAGAGAAATGCAAAGAGAGTACCTTCTGAATGCTAAAGACAGTTGGGGTGACTCATGGATAATTGGGGGGGATTGGAATGACATCTGCAGTAGTGAAGAAAAATAGGGTGGGAGAGAAAGATCAGAGAGCAGTTTTTGGGGATTCAGGAACTTTATTGCACAAATGAACATGCTTGAAGTCCCTATGTCAGGCCACCCTTATACTTGGGGAAACAACAGAATGGGAAACTTTTTTGTGGAAGAGAAGCTGGATAGGTTTTTCTCTTCTCTTGGATGGCTCACCCATCATCCTCTTACCTCCTCTGCCAATATCTGTAGAAACTCCTCAGATCATAACCTCATCCTTCTCTCAGACACCCCAAATATCTCCAAACCTAAGAAAAGATTTTATTTTAGTAGGAGATGGATAACTAAAGATGGAATTCAAGAAGTCATTGCTAAGGTGTGGACTTCCCAGCACTCAGGCACACCCATGTTCCAAGTTTAGAGCAAGATCAAAGATACAAGAATCTCTCTCCTAAAGTGGAGTAGGAACTTCAAAACTGAAAACTCTAAAAAGATTGCTGATATTACAAAAGAGTTGGACATCCTGAGATCTCAGGGAGGGGATAGAGACTGGCAAAAATGGCATAGACTGAAATCCCAGTTGGACAAAGCCCACAGAGATGAAGAATCCTTCTGGCACCAGAAGTCCAGAATACAATGGCTTAAATCAGGAGACAAAAACACCCACTTCTTTCATGCCTACACTATGCAAAGGAGGAAAACCAACCACATCTCCAGGCTTCTCAGAGAGGATAATGTGATTTGTGAGTCCAAGGAAGACATCGAAAGCTGCATTGTTGACTTCTATAGTCACCTCTTCTGCTCAGAAGGTACATGGGAACCAGAAGGCCTCTTAGACTGCATTACCTCCACCATCAGCAGTTCTACCAACAGGTCTCTCTTGGCTCAAGTTGGAGAGAATGAGATAAAGCGAGTGCTTGACAGCATGAATCCCAATAAGGCTCCAGGCCTTGATGGTATGTCCCCTCTTTTTTACCAAAAATTTTGGAACATTATTAAGTCTAATCTTTGCATTGCCATTCAAAGCTTCTTTGATTCTTGCCAAATTCTTAAAAGTTGGAACCACACAACAATCACTTTGATTCCTAAATGCCTTAATCCCACTCAGGTGGCAAACTATAGGCCCATCAGTTTGTGTGGGGTTCCATACAAAATCATTTCTAAAATTTTAGCCTTTAGACTCAAGCATTGTCTGAACTCCTGCATCTCTGATAATCAAAATGCTTTCATTCCTGGTAGAAGCCTCATGGATAATGTAGTGGTTGCTCATGAAGCCATTCACTATCTAAACAGGCACTCTACTGGTTCTAAATTCCTGATGGCTCTGAAACTTGATATGGCAAAGGCTTTTGATAGAATTGAGTGGGCTAGCATTAGGAAAATAATGATAAAAATGGGGTTTCATGTGAAATTTGTAAACTGGATCATGGCTTGTGTTTCTTCTCCTCACTATTCCTTTAATATTAATGGTTCAGTGAGTGGTTTTGTTGCACCTTCTAGGGGCATTAGACAAGGAGACCCAATATCTCCTTACATTTTTATCATTGTTGCTGAACTATTCTCTTGCCTCATCAAAAAAGTTGTTGCTTCTGGAGATCTGCAGGGTATTCAACTTTCTAGAGGTGGCCCAACCCTAGCCACCTCTTCTTTGCTGATGACATTATTCTTTTTTGCCATGCCAATAACCAAAATGCTTCTACCATCCTCCAAATTCTCCAAACCTACCAGCAATTCACTGGCCAGAAAGTTAACATGCAAAAATCTTCAATATTTTTTAGCAAAAACACTCCCTCTTCAACCCAAAGCTCCATTTGCAGTATCCTTAATGGCATTCAACCCCAGCTTTCTTGCAAATACTTGGGTTTACCTCTCCAAATTGGTCACTCTAAAAAGCAAACCTTCTTTTTTGTGACTGAGGCTGTCAGGTCTAGGATTTTGAGCTGGAAGAATAAATTTCTCTCCCCTGCTGGTAGAGAAATACTTATAAAATCAGTCCTAAGTGCCTTACCTGTTTTTGTCATGTCTTGCTTTATCATTCCTATTTCAGTGTGATGAGATAAACAGGTTACTAGCTAAATTTTGGTGGAGCAAAAGTGATAACAGTGGGAGAGGAATTCATTGGAAGAGCTGGAAGACCATATCACTTCCCCTGGAGAATGGTGGCTTGGGTTTCTCTGACCTAGAAATCTTTAATGAAGCTCTCATCTTCAAGTAGCTGTGGAGGATACTCACCAAGCCCAACCTTCTCATGAGCAGAATTCTTAAGAGCAAATACTTCCCCAAAGGCTCCTTCCTTGAATCCAAACCTCCTGCTAGCAGCTCTTGGCTCTGGAAAAGCTGGATGAAGACCTGTCCTTCCTTTAAACAGCACCTCAGAATGATCATTGGTGATGGACAAACTGCTCTAATTTGGGAGCATCCTTGGCTGCACAATCTCCCAAACCTCAAGCCCAGCAGAAACCATTGCAACCCTCAAACATTAACCAAAGTCTGTCAACTCATGAACCAAACAGACAACAGCTGGAATATCACTCTCATCAGAAGCACCTTCTCATCCCAGGAAGCAGATGCAATCCTTGGGATTGATAATCATGACAGATCAAGGCCAGATAGGTCCTTTTGGTATCTGGACAAGAAAGGCTCCTTCTCAGTCTCCTCAGCTTATGCCAAGCTCATCAAAGGAAAAGTCAGCAAGCTTGATATTCCTGAAACTAGTACTCAATCCTCCTGGATCAACAAAGTCAGAGCATCAAGTTGGAAGCTCAAGATCAAAAGGAAATTAAAACACTTCATATGGAAATGCTTCAACAACACACTCCCTTGCTGTACTAATCTGGCCAAAAGAGGAATGCCTGTGGATACCATCTGCCCTGTTTGTGGTGATTCTGAGGAAACTGTGGAGCACATCTTCTTTCACTGCTATAAGGCTCAAATAACTTGGAAGTTGGCACCCCTAATCTGGAATAATACTAACCATGAGACCCCCTGTTTCAAGCAATGGTGGAAGGATGTGTGCTTAAACAAAGATCAGGTTGCTGTGGATAGAATTGAGCTCACCACATACATATTGTGGTGGCTCTGGAAAACCAGAAACATGTGGCTCTTCAAGAAGATCTTGCTGCCAGAAAAGGAAGCCATCAAAGCTGCTTTCTTGGAATGGCAGGAGTTTTCTTCTGTACATAACTCATTTTGATGTTTGGCTTGTTTTGTTGTTAGTTTTGTCTTTTTCTGTTGCTTTGTGTATTTCCGGGTGGTTGTTTGTTTTCCCTTCCTCTATTTCCCCTTTGTTCACTCCTTGCTCCTGTTAGCTCCCTAGCTAGGTTCTTCGGTTCAGTGGCTAGTTATTCCTTTTGCATTTGTTCTAGATATGTTAGCTAAAGGTATCAGTATGTTTACTGCCTTTTAGCGGCTTATCTAGTGATTGTATTCCTTAGTTCCCTCGGGGAACTCCCTATTTGTATTGGCCATTTGGCCTCTCGAACATTGTATATTTCCTTTAGTTTATTCATATCTATCGTTTCGAAAAAAAAAAAAAAAAAAAAAAA